AAAAAAAAGGAAAAAATAGTCAAATAGTGCGATTTCACCAGCGATTCTAGGATAGAATTGCACTCAGGAGAACGTAGTTATTAACGTTACATATAACTACTGCTTCAGTTTCAGCCTTGGAGAGATTTATAGATTCCGAGGAAACGTCGTATCATATCTGGCGTGCCGCCGCAGCTACTACATTTAGTACAAGGTAAGTGTTGTATGTTATCGTGCATGTTGTCAAAGTGGATTTATAAAGTATAGGGAAGAATAATCTATATATATAAAACAGGAAAAGGTGAAAGCAATCAACCACCATTGCAACCGTAGCACCGCAGCAACACCAAAAGAATCAGTTGGACCATTGACTAAGCAATTGGGAGTCCCAGCAGCAACCCACATCCCGTTGACAGCAACCGCAGGGCGGCAAAAACAGCGCAACAGTCCCGGAACTGTTAACACTGGAATAGGTGAGTATTATTATCCTTGAGTGTCGAAGCAAACGAGGAAGGTATCATTTGCCGGGGTAGAATAGACGGAACAACCGCGGCTAGGAAGTGGGGGGTTACCGAAGCATGCGGAGCACGAAAACCCATATATATGCCTCTATTTAAACCGGGGGCGTCAAAAATTGTGTATATACGCTGATGTAACTTCAATCTTGCGATCCAGATGTATCGCTCCTTGTGAATTTTCTTTGCTTTAGAATCCATTAGGAATCATTCAAACTATAAAACCTCTTTTAATTAATATCCCCTTTGCAGGCAGTCTGCGGACCGTCCCGTACGGTATCCACGACGCGCCACAACAGCACTACTGTAACCATACGGCGTAACCTCAAGCGCCACTTCGGGAGAAGAGCGCCACAGTACCAGTGTGTGCGTACCAGCGGTGCGCTTTAATGCCCATCGGGCGCCCTAACACCATCTAGCGCCACCTCGTCAGCGAGGCGCCTCAACGTCATCAAGTGCCACCAGCGGTGCGCCTTAGTGTTCATCGTGCGCCTCAATATAAGCAAGCGCCACCACGTTAGCGGTGCGCCTCAGGATCGTCAGGCGTCTCAACGTACCCTGGCAATTAGCAAGACGACCTCAATAACAACACCAAAGCTGCCCAAAGCAGCAACCACACCGTAACAACAACAAAGCAGCAACCACACCGTAACAACAATAAGCAGCAACCACACCGTAACAACAACAGCAGGCCCCACCAAGAACTGCTGCAACAAGGGGTGAGTCCTTCGGGCCTATATATATATATATACGCTTACATTTATATATGCAGGCTAGATAAGAAAGAAAAAAAAATATTAAATGGACTTAGAAGAAAATATATATATATATACATATATATATATATAATGATAATAAAATAATAAAAAAAAAAAATAAAAATTAATAAATGTAGATAAATAGAAAAAGGAAACAGAAAATAAAATGTAAAAGCAGAGAAAACAAAAACCCAAAGAAAAAAAAAAAAGCTAAGAAATTAAAACAAAATAAAATGTAAACGAAGGAAAGTTAACAGAAATGTAATAGTATGAACTAGAATAATTTTTTTTCCATATATAGACATACATATACACCTATATACATGCATATGCACCTATGGATGTGTATAGATGTATATAGATGAAATAGAAATTTAGTTTTAAGTAAAACAACAAACATGAACACCCTTGAATAATTTTTTTTAAAGAACACGAAAAATCTATATACCTAAAATAAATAACTGACATAAAATTAAACTAGATTAGATTGAATTAAATTAAACTAAATAAAAATTCAGTCAAGTAATTTAACATTCTCTAAAGTTAAATAAAATAAATTACAATCTAGAAAAGTTTAAAATAACTTAATTTTAAATAAATAAAATCTAAATTTATATAACTAAAAGAACTTAATATAAATTAGTATAAAATAAAAGTTTCGCGAAAATTCAAATAAAATAACTTTTAAATAAATAACTGAAAATATAAAAAAAAAAAGAAAAAAAAAAAAACGGCCACTTTATAACAAGAACTTAATATAAATAACAAATAATACCAATAATAATAAATAACAAAAAAATAAAAAAAATAAAAAAATAAAAGAAAAAAAAATACCTGAAGCGAAATTAAAACAATTATAGAACTATAGGAAGCAGAACTTAAAACTTAACTAGACTAGACTTAAATTTCTTTAATTGAATTTTTTGAACTACTTGACCTACTTACCTGAAATACCTACCCGACTTACCTACCTGATTCTCCTACCGGATTTACTTACCTGACTTACCCTTTTGTAGCCTGTAAACTTACCCTTCAACGCAACCTTGACCCATAAATTTCAACCGTAGGACTAAGTTTAAACCATACTAGTGATAAGACTTAGCATGTAAGGTGCGATTAAACACTTACTCGCCTTGAATTTTGATGGACAGCTTAGGATTAGTTTTTTTTTCCCCCCTTAAATATTCTTCACCCCTACTTAGCTCTTAAGCATATATAATTTTTGTTCGATGTTAGGACGTAGCTTTAGGTTAATTAGGTTTAGAAATTAGATGTAGAAATGAACTTTCAATAAATTCGTGTAACATAATGGGAATGCTGACTTGCTTTGTTATTTAGGAAGGCACATTAGAGCTTATATAATGGGGCTACCGACATTAGGGTGCGACGGTAGCCATGGATGAGGGTGGGCCAGCACCGGGCGTCACAACTCCACCAGTGGCGCCCTTATATTCGGCCTTGTTTTATTTTTGGTGCATTTTCGTTTTTTTTTTACATTTTCTTTTCGTAGTTTTGGATTTTCAGTTTATTTTAAATTTTGAATTTAACGTTCTTTTTCAGCTATTTTTGTTAACGGATTTTTTTTGTGGAATTTTGAATTTATTTTGTAGTGTGTCCGTCCGTTAACGACGTTTGACAAGGCATGACTTTTCTCTGCTATGGCGCAGGGAGCAGCGGTGAAGGCAAGAACCCAGCCCAGCCGACATGACTAGCCATAGTGCACCCTATTGTGTCATGCCGCCTGCATTCACTGCTGCTCCCGAAGTATGCGTACCATAACACCATGATTCAATAATACAAGGTTCGATAAACTGACAGTTGTCTCTCTCGCACCGCTCCCTTAGCAGTGGCACCGTGTTGCTTCTTTGCAATTTTACATGGAAACAGTGTAGCTTTCGTGTGATATAAAAGTATAAGCTTTTGTGCAATATCTTTATTTGTATATGCATATGAAGCATATTTAACTGATGAAAACATAAGCATTGGATGTTTACATCAGTCTCATAGTAGTCTTATTTTAATTTTGAGTCATTTTACAGTTTTTATACGGCTAAATAGCATATAAATTACGTAATTCACGTAGATATATCAATATTACGTTCAACATTTCGTTTAAAATGCCAGATTTCCTGCAAATACATTAGAATTTACGAAAGGAAACTAATTGCCTACTTTGCGTACTTTTCTACTACCATTTTCGAAACAAGGGATTGCATTCTTGCCCTTTCTCTGTCCTCCGTAAATGCAACCTTTTGTAAGGGAGTGTCAAACCGCAGCTGTCAATAATTATCTAACCTTGTATTATTGAATCATGGACAGTAACCAACCTTTTTGGGTTGTTGTTGTAGTAGTCGTTGTTGTTGTAGTTAGAGCGTGTGTGAATCGGTAACAAAGTTCGCGGCAAGTAAATTTTTGACAAGTTTGAGGTGAATAAAATTTCAGTAGCCCATAGGGCTAGTGAAATTTTTGACAAATGCATAGAAAATTTTGACAATTGCAAAGATTGCTGCTGTGTGTAATTTTTCGTAAAATAAAAGCTTAAGTTGATGAACTGCAATCAATGATGGTAGATGTTTTCTTAAAATATTAATTTCACTAAATTTGTAATAGTTTATTGCGCATAAATCTGCGGTTATGAAAAATTTACTGCTGTCAAAAAAGATTTCATTTCACACAGCAGATTGGCAAAACTGTCTCACCATAGTACAAATATTATTCAACAGCTTTCCCCATAGAACTTTGCTACCGATTCACACACGCCCTTATATTCACTCCTGAGGAAGGCACGGGGTTGTGTGCTGCTATTTAATGGCCTTCCTCAGACTTTTTCTTAGATTTCAGGGTTGTGTGCTGTATTATTATTAGATAAATAAATTTAAGTATTTGTCAAATCGTGATTTTATTAAAAGAAAATTATAAATGGTGTAGAAAAACCAAACAAACACTCGTGCGAAAGCTCTATTTTTGTGTATTGTTAAAATTTATACATGGCGTACTTATTCTTTTGTGGACTTTATGTTACTTGAGAATTTAGACAACGTGCGAGCTGCCAGGTTCTGTTATCAATATAATTAACACAAGCTTTTCCGAGTGGTTGCCTTTCAATAAAAAGAATAAACAAATATTCGCAAATAAATTGGATTTATTTTATAACTGACAACTAACCTACGCTTTTTGTTCTTTCTCCATTTTAATTTTGACTCCTTATTACCGCCAACAACTTTATGTGTATACATATTTACAAGCTGTCAAAATTTTGCGTAGTCCTACGAGCTAGGTAAAAACTATGGCATTCGTATTAACAACGAGAAATCTCAAAATTTTTGTTTGGTCTTTCCAAATTTTCTCTTTTTAATCAGTTAGCAAAGGCCCTCAGTGGCAGCGCTCCGAGCGTTGGGATAGTAATTTCATGTCAATTAGTAGAAAAGTTCCATGTTGGAAAAACTTTTTATTATGGCGAGAAAAATTTACATTTCTGCTGTGCCAATTCGTTACCTTTTTGCAGCTGGAAATTTTTGACAGTTGCTCTTGTTCAAAAGAAGTTGAGCAATAAAATCAGAAATTATACAAAAAAGACTTGTCTTTACTGACATTTATTCTTCTAGAACTAAAAGCCATGAATTTATTAGACGCCTTAGGCCGGGTTGAAAATTTTCATTCACCTCATAGTTAACAAAAATTTACAATCCGTAGTACTTTTCTATCAATTCTCAAATGCGTTTAATTTAAATCGTTTAGAAAATGCGTCATTTATGTATACCATTTTATGTGGAATTATTCAATAAATTTCGTTTTACACTATACTTTTTGAAACTATTTGGAGTTAATTATTTTTTGGTGATTAAAAGCAACCCTGCGTGCTTGGAAGGCGTGTGTACCAATAGTTTCATCCCTAGCATATTCATCCCCGAGGAAGGCAGTCGCCAAATTCACCGAAGGTTGTTTACTGGTTATATTGTGGCACGGGGTCAGAATGAAATTTTTGTGTGCTGACAAAATATATACATATTTCAAATTGTTAAAGGCTCTGTTATGCATACTTGGCATTGCTTGAGAGTTGTCACATAAGGAATCTGTTAAATGAGCTTCGCGTGTAAGCTGTTACCCAACGCACAGCGTTACATACGTAAAAGTCTGTTGGTTTTTGATTTCTACGTAAAAATGGTATAGCAGTGCATGCAATGCCAAGTATGCATAACAGAGCCTTAAGGCTCTGTTATGCATACTTGGCATTGCTTGAGAGTTGTCACATAAGGAATCTGTTAAATGAGCTTCGCGGGTAAGCTGTTACCCAACGCACAGCATTACATACGTAGAAGTCTGTTGGTTTTTCATTTCTACGTAAAAATGGTATAGCAGTGCATGCAATGCCAAGTATGCATAACGGAGCCTTTAAGGCTGTGCGTTGGGTAACCGCTTACACGCGAAGCTCATTTAACAGATTCCTTATGTGACAACTCTCAAGCAATGCCAAGTATGCATAACGGAGCCTTTATTCATTAAAGTAAGTACATATGTACATACCCAAATTCGCAATTCACTTGTGTCATTAAAATAAATATTGTGCTGGGATATGAGGGTGGTTTCACAACAAGCTGTGTGTCAAGGGGGGTTTTCCTAATTCGATTAAATCGACTGTATTTGGGCAACCAATTCTACACATAATCTCCCACCTAAATTATTTTTTATTGTAATAATTACGATTTATGATTTCACTCGAACTTAATTTTTGATCGCTGTCGAAAACAAATGACGCCCCTGCAATTTCGATTTCATTTGTGTTCAACATCCTTTATTTAAAAGGGAATGTAAAGAGATTAAAGGAATCACTTGTCGGATCGATTCTATGCTTTGTGGAGGACTACGTTCTTCGTTTCGCCAATTCGGCGCGTATATGTATGCATGTACAAATATAAAAGCTTACCAACTCGCCACATTATTGACCCTGCGTGAAGCACGGGAATTCGACACTAATTTTTATTACTTCCTAAGATAGGCTTTAATTGATTGTCATGACGAATGTATGGCAGTGCTCGTTTGTGTGCTATTGTGCATTCGGTTCATTAGTCAGTTGAAGATTCATCGGCATATTCAACGCCTGGTGAACCGTTTCAACACCAAAAATGAGACTGCAAGTGAGGCAACTGCCAGATCAATTTCGATCTCGAACGCACCGAAGCTAACAGTAATGAAATATGGAAGGTTTTGCGAGTACCGAGAGACCCATAGAGGAACGAAATGTCTCTGTTTCGATCGTCAATCGCTTCCATCAAAGTGTCAGAAGCCTACGATAGTTAGAGCATGACTCTTCCAATGGAGTCCTCCAAATAAATGAATGATAAAAAAGCCTCCATAAAAGTTAATCCCTACCTCCTCTTGCACGGTGTCAACTCGAAAACTGATCTCCCGCGGAGACGAATACGTCAATTGAAGGTAACATAATTCGCACGATCCGTTTTCTGAAGTTTTGCGCGGTCTAACGTATGAAACCAGGTTTAACATATGTAGTATACATATATGTATAGAGATATTATAAAATGGTATATCAATGTCATGTCTCTTTTTCTTCTTATTTAGCACTAAAAACCCTTATCGGTTTGGGCCGATATCAAAAAACTAATTGCCTTTCTCTCTTGTCTACTTGCGTCATTTGTTCATCCCGAGTGCAATCAAGTCCCTATGCACTTGGTCTTACGTTGTGTTTGCGGGCGCCCTTATTTTCATCGTCCACCCGGGACGCCATCAGCCATGTCGTTGTAAAGTTTATCGTTCAACATTCGTCGGCCACGCGAACCATAGATCTTACGTAGAATAGTTATTTAAAAACTCGCAAAACTTTCTCCTCCCTATTCGACATCTTCCACGTTTATGCGCCCCATACAAGGACGGGCGTGATGAGAGATTTGTAGACCATAATGTTTGTTCGTCAAGAAAGGGTTCTGCCTTGCAATCGTCTACCGAGCCCCAAGTAACACCAGTTGGCAAGCGTTATTTTTCACCTGGGCATGATGAGAGATTTGTAGAGCGTAATTTTTGTTCGTCGAGAAACAGGTATGCCTTGAAATCGTCTACCGAGCCCAAAGTAACACCAGTTGGTAAGAGTTATTTTTCACCTGATCTCTAGGCTGACATTGTTGGCGCAACATGCCAACTTAGAGTCAAGTTCTCCTCGTGATATCAAAAACAGCTATTAAAATCGAAACAAAGATTGCGTGTGTCGATTTGCAAATTTGGTGGCTTTCCCAGGGTTAGAAGTGCTGTGAAAATCTGGCCAATGATGGACTTACCAGGTCTGAAACCATACCAGTAAGTAAAGTTAGTTCATGAAGGACTTCAGTTTTACATAGTATCGTCGACAGGACCTTATCATCGATATTAAGAAGGCGTATTCCGCTATAATTGGCGCAAACTCGTAAGTCCAACAGTTCGTAACAGCTGGTAAATGCGCCCCACCAAATCTTTTCTGTCGGCTTATTCAGCTGCCATTAATATGGCTCTTGGGGCCTTTTGTTTTTTATACCCCATTGTTAATGCTCTCACCTCGTTTTGGTTGAGTGGTTGGACGTGAGCTTCGTCCCTTTACATTGGTCTGCGTTCTTCTTCGACAAACGCACCACCTGTGTGTGCCTTCAGAAGCATAAGGAAGTGTTTCCTTCGTATCTCAATTGTACTTTAGGTGTCTGTTAACAGATTTCCACGCTCGTATTTGCAGGAACTAGCCCCAAGAAACCGCTGACAGCTCTTATTCTTTTAAAATCTTTAAAATTTTTACGAACTCACCCTTTACCTTCTAAACCCTTCAAAATTAAAGTCACTGAAACCTTCTGTATTTTGTTACGTTATTGAAATTTTGTAAATATACGTACATGTAAAGGGGTCCGTATGACAACCAAAATATTAAAAATAATAAAAATATTTATGGAAATAAAAAGCTTTATCGCCTGCATTGTTTATTGTTATGTTTCGTTTGATTGTAAACTTTCAAAATGTATATAATTTAATTACTCTTTTTATTGCTAAACCTATCACCTCAATTCAATGTATTTATCTTCTAATTGCAGAGCTCCTTCTATGACTATGTGGAACCGCTGCCTGTATATCAAAACGAAAAAATCGGCACTTTGAAGGAGGGCATCAGCTTTACAATAACCGGAAAAATTCTGCTAAATTGCGAGCGGCAAGTCCACATGCAACCATTTTCCATTAACAACAATTAATCATTTTGCGTTTGTCCTTTAGGTTTTCAATCAATTTCGTCATCGAGAATGCAACACGCGATGTTGCGCTGCACATTAATCCACGCCTGCCACAAAACTATATTGTACGCAATACGAAGGTGAAAGGCGTATGGGGCAGGGAAGAAGTCTCGTCAGCACTGCCATTCTCACTGCATCGTGGCAGCCGTTTCGGCATGCAGATCTTCATAACAGATAGCGACTATCTGATCTCCGTGAATGGCATACATTTTGCCAAATATGCACACCGTGTACCATACTCGTCAGTGTCGACTATCGAGATGAAGGGCGATGTGGAAGATGTGAGCATGGAACGCGCCGATGTGGAGTTCTATCCCGAGCATATACCGGGCGTTGATCCCAAAGAAATAAGTATGGCACTGGACATTTTCCATGACAAGCCAAATGGTGATAAGACAGCGTTAATACCATACGATGAAGTGGATGGCTCGAATTTAGATTGGGCGCCACTGGGTATTAAAAGTTCGATTGCCTTAATGAAAAATATCGCCTGTGGCATACCGCTTCCATACTATGGGCTGTTGCCGCCCGATTCGCTAAAAGTAGGGCGTTGCTTACAAACTGTGGGGCGTGTTAAATTGCTGCCACAATCATTTTACATTAATCTACAAAAGGGCCAACACTACTGGCCTCATCCTATTATCGCATTTCATTTTAATCCACGTTTCTCGAAGCATAGTGGTGCAATTGGCAAGGCGATTGTGTGTCGAAATGCTTGGTTCAATGGCGCGTGGGCAGAGGAGGAACGCTCCGAATTGGATACAGATTTTCGGCCTGGAAAAACATTTCGCTTGGCCATTGTGTGTGCGGAAAATGGATTTGAGGTTTACTTGAATGATAAACTAATAACTGATTTTAAATATCGTATCAAACCGGATATTGTCGATACGGTGTATATACAGGGTGATATCAAATTGCGCAGCGTTGTGGTACTTAGTAATTTATCGCCAAAAGGCACAAGACGCATTTATACAAATCCGCTCTTCAGATATAACTAATCGGTGGTGGCGACGGGAAGGAAATAAAGTGAAGGTGAGGATTGGGAATGTAGAGAGAAGTAGACTTTCTTGCGAATTTCGCCATTATATTTGCGACAACCAGAGAAAGCTTTTACTACATGTGTATATGCGCGCCCATGTAAAGGACTGCTCCAACAGACATGGTGCGATAGCATCTTGTGCGATACGCGCCTATTTGAGCAGGCCTTCACATTTATAAAACGTTTTAAAAAGTTTCTTCCGTAGGATATGTATGTATGCTTTGGTCCTAATTACTTCACTTTCTTCTAAGGTGCTTAGAAAGCTTAAAAAGATCTGCATGCGTGCTTAGTCGTAGCATGCGTAAGGAGGTTTTTTTTTTAACTTTCTCAGTCATGCCCAAAACAACGCAAAAAGCTTTGCAAAGCTTTCTATAGATTATATGTATATCGGTTATGAGCACCGCCTTGCCCGCGGGCAAAATAAAAAATGTATTATAAACACGAGTCAGGCAGCTAAAAGTTTCAATAGTGCTCATGGTGTAAACGTAGGCTATCAACTCGGAGTTGAGTTACTGAATTGACTTTCACCAGCGAATCCTCTCGTAAAAAAAATACTCAGGATCTCGGTTGAAGTCCAGCGACTTTTTACCACGATTGCTCTTTACCTCTTTTTTTGTGTACCAAAAACTGTACCAGAATGTACAAAATGTACGAAAATAGTATGTTTAGCTATAGATTTAATTATTCAAATGTTTTACAAATATTTTCTTTTTTTACAATTTTTCGCGTGTTTTGTGAACTTTTTTATAATGCTCGAACAAACCTTTCTTTAGAAACATTCTCTGTAAAAACGGACAAATATATTTTTTATTATAAACTTAGTTGAGCGAATAAATGTGACCTATGTATGTATATATATCTATTGCGCTGACCTTATAACAGTCCACACCAATCTTAGAGTACCTACCTGTAGAACGTGTTAGAGGGTGTCATGTCTCAGATTCTGGACGGAGACCATAATCGCTCCGCGAAATATGAGAATTTTAGACCTATGAAACGTGGGAAATCGCATAATATATTCCAGTCACAGAACCTGCTGTCCAGTCCATTGGTTATACAATAGAATCTCGAAAAAGTTTACCAAAATGTCCCAAGGGTGATTAACTTCTTCGAATTAATAACTTTTATAAGCGCTTTTCAAAATTTAAAAAAATATAGTAATAAACATATGGCCTTATTCATAAAAAATAAAGTAGGTTGAAAGAGTTTTATAAATTGACGTTTTCATACATTTTTCAATTTATAAACCTTTTATAAAGCTACTTTATTTTTTATGAATAAGGCCATTAGTTTTCATCATTACAAAAAAAAAGAAACTTGGATTTAATTTGTACAAGCATATGGAGAGTTTTCTTGTTTGCTTCTTCATATGTGCTCGCCACTGCCTCCAAAATTTCATGACGTTTTTTCTTTATTATTGAGATGACTGTTTTGGATACACCATAATCCACCAATCGATTTCTGTAAATACCTCGATAAATTTTTTAATCTCAGCTTTTTAATGATTTAATAGATTATATCTGATTTGCGATGACTTTTTCCTCTTTGTTGACATTTTTTAAACACACAAACAATACACGACTCACAAATTCAAACGCTCACGACAAAAGGAATTCGGGGAATACGCGTAAACAAATTGAGCTCGGGTGAAATTTTTTCGAGAAAAGAAACCGCCATAAGCCGAGCGATTAAGTTTTTCACGAGTTAACTTTTCCGCGATTCTACTGTACTGCAATGCTTTCCAATTACCTGTGTGCGATTATGAAATAGGTATATGATGTCAGTAACAATTATCTCGTTTTACCAGATTTCAAAAATGTACCAGATATGAAAGTAATGTACCAGTGTAGCAAACTGAAAAAAAAAATCGACCAAAATGGCAACCGTGCTCATTACTATGATATAGCTCTTTCTGTTAAGCATAAAAAAAATCCCCATAAGTGTTGCACTTCGCCACACTGCTAAATACATGTGAGTCAGCTGTATTAACAATATAAAAAGTCTATACATCTTCCTCTCTTACTCTTAAGAGTCGTAGTCAAGGTTTTCCAAGGTACACAGAAAAATAGTCAACGACAGAAACGACTGTAACATTAAAATGAGTTAATTGAATGAATTAACTCCTTCAAGTGACGGCAGCGTTGATCCGGATCAACTCGTTAATTCGGAATTATCTCGGGAATTAACTGCAGTTGATCCGGATTAAGTCCGAGTTAGTCCGGATCAACGCTGCCGTCTGTTTAAGCTTTTAGAGTCATAGAGTCAACTCTTGGAAATTTACTGAGTTACCTACCCCCAATATGGTATAAGCCAATTACATACCATTTTGGTTTCGTCGAACTCCGTTCCGTTAAATTTTCATTGTGAAAAGTACCTACATCACGGTCTTATTAAAAAGGTCAGTCAAATCAAGGAAATTGTTGAGAAAAAACATTTCACAAAACCCGCTTTGGAACCATTTGAATGAGGCTGTATACAAAAAGAAACTCCAAGTTGGGGTGTCGTACAAGTTCATGCAAACCAATCTTATAAACCCATTTTCCATCTGAGAATCGCAGCCGAATTGCAAGAAAAAGCTACCCATTTCACTTGAATCAGGAAATCGTTAAGTGAAAAAGCTCGTGACTGAATCGTGGTGAGCGTACGCAAGTGGGGACCAAGAAAGGGTGGACGGTCAGGAAAGTTTTACTGCGTGTTTGTTTGGATTTTCAGGGAATGATCTAAACTATGATTTATGTAAAAACAATTTCGATATTCTTACTATCGGTTTTATTTTACAAAATTGACTTGTCAAAAAACAAATAATAAATTTGCTTGAAAGTCCACTCTATATTCCATTTATTGCTCACTAAAATATGTCTCTTATTATTATTTTTTAGATTCCAGCGCTGCTCGCTGTTCAGAGACCCCGAAGGCATTTGAAAAAGTTTGAAGGACTTGGACACACCTATCCTCAATCCAAAGGAAGTTGAATGAAAATGCCTAATAAAACGGTTCCCTGCATCTTATTCCAGCTATTTCATGATTTCAAAATCCATTCCGAATGAAATTTTAGCTGATCGTTTGGTAGTTTTTTTTCAACAATTACTTTTTTTGATCTATAAATATTTTTAATTACTTTTTTATCTTTATTTTTTTGTTAATTTAGTTTTTTTTTTAGTTTAGTTTTAGTTTTTAGTTTATTCAGTTTATTTAGTCTATGATTACAAGCTTACAGACTAGATAAAAATAAAACTATCATAATTAACACTAAATACTATAGATTTAGATACACAAGTAGTTATAAGAAAAATGAATCAATAGATGATTTGAAAATATTTCTCGGCAACGAAAAATCAATATTTAGACTCTTTGAGATCTTGTTAAATTCTGTCAGAGCGCGGAAAATCGGATCAAAATGGTAATAGTTAGCCTTAGTAGCACGCAAGTAAAACGGCAGAGATGAGCGTAGAAATCTGTGAGGCACATTAAAGGATATCTTCTCCAGAAGGACCGAACAATCCAAAGAGCCAAAAAACCAAATCAAAAACGAACATGAGCAACTGGACAATTCTTCTAGTTTCAAGAGTTTGTAGGTGAATAAGTTTACAACGGGAAAAATATGAGGGCATCGGGTCATCAAAGTTAAGGGAACTTAACGCAAAACGAACAAATTTTCTCTGCACTCTTTCGAGTCTGGCGGCATGACAGCCGTAAATGGGGTTCCATATAATAGAAGCGTACTCTAGTTTTGATCGTACTAAAGAGATAAATAAAGCTTTCCTGGTGTATGGATCCTTAAAGTCTTTCGCATATCTACGCAGGAAAGCCAGGTTACTTTAGGCTTTTGGAAGAAATTTAATGTAACAATGTATTTTATAATTACGAAAAAATAGTTATGGAATTGAAAAATAACTGATAATTACTTTAAAAATGATACAAGAATAATAAAATGATACAAGAAGAATAAAAATAACGATTTGGTTTGAACCAAAAAATTTATTTTAACTAAATATTGTATATTTTAATATACAATGTAAATTTTAAATATGCATGGAGGAGTATTCTACGACCATTCTTCTTAATCTTTCTTGGTTCTTCTTTCACGTTGATTTTGTAGCGGTTCCAAACGTTTAAGAAGTCTCTATGAACTGATTCACCTGGCTGCTCCGACCACAATCAAAATTCCTCGCCATCCAAAAAATGCAAGGAATGCTCAAGATGTTCAAAAATTACGTGAATTTTCAATGTCACAGAAACTTGTACTGGCATAAGCCTTTTTCAATTCTTTAATGAATTTATCTAAATCCTGGCCGGGTGGTGACATAGAACAACAAAAATCCACAATTTCGTTCATAGCTTTGAAAGCAGAAATGAAAGGTGTAAGTGAAAATTTGCCTACACTTGAATAAATTTCTGGATCATCTAGCGCATCTGAATTTTGCAGAAGTTGCTTTTGTAAGTGGCGGAACTAATCCGTTCCTTGTAACACATGTAATTCAGGAATTGGACATTTTTTAATAACAAGTACATTATCATCTTCTTTGAGGAGAGCTCAGTGATTTTCCATTGACAGTTTCTTATTTTCACCTCCAAGTACAAACTGCTCATGATCATTTTTTTAATTTCCATAAGTGTTTTAAAGTACGACGACATGTTCAGACACTTAAAAGTTTGCATTTACATGCTTTTTTTATAAGATTCTCATATTTCTCGCTGATGGCATTACTAATTTGATGATTGCTAGAAACAATTTTTTTTCACAACGGGCACACATTTTTGCCCGATTTTCGTTGTGTTTACTTCTCAAACTCACTTTTTCCGTTGTTTTACTACTAAGACTTACGTGTACATACAAAATTTACGTAAGGCGAAAAAAGTTACTTAAAAAGGATATTGTTACTTGGGTCCGAAAAAATATTTTAAGATCAAAAAAAGTAATTGTTGAAAAAACTGCTAAACGATCAGGTAGGATTTCCTTCGCAACGGATTTTTAAACTATGAAATAGCTGGAATAAGATGCGGTAAACCATTTCATTAGGCATTTTCGTTTAACTTCTTTTTGATTGAGGATAGGTGTGTGGAGAAATTGTTGGCGAGCGAGGCGAAACTATAGCCATATTAAATATGGATGGATATGCGAATAGATTTTATAATTCTTTAATTATTTAGCTTTACTTATATATTTCATATACATTTTCTGTAAAGTTCATTTTAAGACAAAAAAAAATCCAAGACATTAAATCAAAGATTAGTACCTACATACATTATTACAATATTAATTTAATAAAAAAAGGCTTTTACTAAGACACAAATTGTTAAATTTTTATGAAGCATGTTTCGAATAAAGAATGTGTTCTTTAAACATTATTATGTTATTAATATATGTATGTATTAACATTGGAAAAAGTATAGAGATAAATAAATGTCTATTAATAAGTACGTACTGTATTTTCAAAAGCTTAATCAGCTTGATTCGCTACAAAATTAATTTTTCTCTGACAATAATTAAATTAGGCATCGAAAGTGTCAGTTGGTGAATAATTCTGATGGTTGCACATACATACATACAAACATCATCATATATATAAATAGAAACCTATATAAATTTTATATATATGATATGACAAACATATGTCTGTATGCAGGAAATTCCCCAAAATAAACTTATGGATTTGTGATTTTTTTTTATTAAAAATAAATTTAATAAAAAAGTAACAGCCAAAGTTCGTGCAATAAAAACTTGAATTCGTAAATCTGGTATGTTAACCCAATACATCGGTGCGTAGATACACCTGTTGTATTTCTTACTGATATGTAGTCTCTAACAAACGTGCTATATTCATATATTAATACCATTTAGTAAATAAATAACCGTTGCCTTTGAAATTTGTCGAAGTTGGAATTACTTGTTATTTGTCTATCTACAGTATGCATACTAAGCTTCGTTTATAGAAAATTGTATGCCAAAAATTAAACCACATTATAATTAGCTGAAGATATGTTTAATCTGACATATTACCGAATAATATACATATGTATATTCGTATATTTTATGAGCACATTATTGTTATTTTATGTATTTGTAACCAATACTTTGACCTTTTAATGCTATAAAATAAAATGGAATAAAAATTGATAAATGCTGGTACATGCATATATGACTTCAAATTAATTGGATTAACGTTATATCATGAACCCAACCCACATACTTAAAGTATGTCTTCTTCTCCTTCTCATTCGACGCTTTCTGTCATGTGTTCGAATTGAGACTAGCGGTTAAATAACACTGTGCAACAATTTTATAGTCATTGTTTGGGAGCGGAATTATTCCAAATCAGAAAGAAAGAATATAATAAAACCACATCTTTTTGCATTCTCAGGTAACATTTTTTTATGGCCACATTAAATTTTTAATATTTTGCCTGGAAAAAATGGTTAAAATTGTTAAAATTTATATCTGAGCGAAATATTTAATATTCATTCAGAAAACTTTTCAATAACGCCCTATCTCAGCACATTTGAAATGGAGTTTCAGCTGAAATAGGGCGTTTTTGAACCGAATTCTAAGATAGGGTGTTCTTGAATCAAATTCTAAAGTACGCCGTTCTTGAAAACATTTTCGACATAGGGCGTTTTCGAACTGGCTGCCGAGATATGTAGGTTGATCTTCCACTCAGCCATCGATATACATAGTAAAATTTTATAAGGAATAATTGCGTAGAACATTTTAACCCCTTATCTCTCTTACAAAAGGGTCGTTTTGGTTTTGGTTTGTTTTTTGAAAAGTTTGCATAAAATGGCACTTGGGAGGTCGCTAAAGGGTTAAACTGTTCTAGAAAAATATTCGCCAGAAAATTTCATTAGGGGATATCTCGGACAAAATCTTTCTACAAACTATCTAAAAGTCTACAAAAAATAAAAAGCAAATACATACAGACATATTAAATACAAATTTATTTATTATTAGATCAAAATTTGTTGAATTTTTGAAAGCTCCGTATAAAAGTTGAAAGTTCGAGTTGTTTGTTTTTGGTTAAAGCATGAACCATATCTTTATAAAAAAATAACAAACAATTTTTACTTAAAAAACCTTGCAAATATTTCATAAAACCCACCATGTATTCAGTTTTGCTCTATAGTAAATATATTTGTTTTTTTTCTGTGGAATTGTTTTTTTTTTTGTACAAGGATTTTGCCTGAGAATACCCCAAGTGAAATTTTCCGGTGAAAAATTTTCTAGAACAATTGTTTGCGAATTGCTTGCTGCTGGCAAAATTTTTTTCCAGCAAGAATTGCAGGCTAACGTAATATTCCCGCAGGTTTTTACGGTTCTTGAGGTACACATGCCTTAAATCTTAACGTTTATCTAAATTGTGTATTGTAGATATACTACATATGGGCCATTGCAGCGAAAACGACACCTCAGATATAAAAAAATAAATTACACAAATTGTGTTAAAATCCGTAAAAACAGATATACCCCCTATTAAAAATATAATAAATATTCACATCAAATAAGCAGTGTTAATTTTACTCACGAACTATGTGTCCTCAAAAGTGAATCGTCCCACCCGTCACAAGCTAAAATAAAATTTTATTTTTTTAATGTCATTAAATAATAAAATGGTACTTAACATTCTAGTAACTACATTCGAGAAAGCCGCTATGAACGAAATATTTAGAGTTTGTCTAAAATTGGGAAACGAATCCAACAACTCAGAGGAGTGGGTGTCACCGTTGTCCCATCCGTCACGCTTGGAAAATGTAAAATTTCTGTATAAATTATATAATTAAATTGTATACTTCATCAATTTCGTATCAAACTGATATCTGACTTCAAGTGTTACCAGTTTGACACTTGTCAAATCAATGTTTAAAGAGAATTTACTAAAAGTTTGGGCAAAAACGAGTTAAAATGTCCCACCCGTCACTTTGGAATGCCCCCAATATCTACCTTGGTTCTGCGAAAATTCGCAACCGGGATCATATCGATATTTAGATATAAAAGGTAAAGATGATTAAGGATAAAAGAGAGAAACGTTTTGCAATAAGACTGGTTTCACTCTCTCCTTGAAAATTTGGGTAACATCACATGTGTACGAGGTTGAAAAGTTGTTATAAATATATAGTTTTATTTGCAAATGATATCAGACTTTTAAAAATTTTCTGGAGGCCATTCCATGTAAATCTTTATATCTCGTAACAAAACGTTATTTAAAATAAATTGCCCTTTTAAATGAGTTGGGATTTAAATGTTTACCTACGACAAGTAAGAAAAAAATAACTAAAAAATGCCACATGCTAGCTACATACAGTATTGGCCAATACAATAGCACCCCCATTTCAAAGTCATATTGTTTGCCACTCATGTTTATTTATTTATTTTTAAGAATTTTCAATTAAAATACAGTTCATTCTCTCACAAAACTCACATAAACTCAAGTTTAAAACTTTTTAAAAGACCCCAAAAAAGTGCAACAAATTTTCACCCAAATTTCAAACTTTTTTCTCAGAAGCGGTAGATTTTTTTTGAATACACAGTTTTATAGCCCATTCAGTTTTAGTCTAATAATGTGCAAGTTTCAAGTGGCTAAAAATTACCGTTGATTTTTTAGAATTTTTTTCGCGGAGGATGTTGCGGGTTTCTGCCATATAAAAATAAATTGTGTTTAGTCGTTATATGAAAGCAAATGAGACAAAAAAATTTAAAAAATCAACGGTAATCTTTAGCGACTTGAAACTTCCACATTATTGGACAAAATTGAATGCGCTATAAAACTGTGTACTCAAAAAAATTCTAGAGCTTCTGAGAAAAAAGTTTGAAATTTAAGGGAAAGTTTGTTGCACTTTTTTGTGGTCTTTTAAAAAGTTTAAAACATTGGTTTATATGGGTTTTGTTAGAGAATGGACTGTATTTTAATTTAAAATTTTTAAAAACAAATAATTAAACATAAGTGGCAAACAATATCGCTTTGAAAGGGGGGTGATATAGATATGTCCAATACTGTATGTATGTACATGGATATATTTATTAAAAAATCTCTTACATTTACTCAGACTGTATCGAGGTTTATATGCATTTCGTAGAATCCCTTGAATGATTCGAGTCACTAAGGCTTTCAACCGCCATTGGGAGTGCATCCTCGCTTAGCTTTGCACGTTTCTGATCAAAACCTGACACGAAGTCCGCCGAAGAAAAATGTAATCCGCAAATTTTCTTTCCTGGTATTAGTTCTACGCCACATGCAGCCGCCCACTTTTTTCTCTTCACTTCGTTTTTTGGTATGTGAAACATTTTAATCTTCTCATGAGTCCATGTCTTGTGACAGAGAAAGCAACTTGATTTTGGCATATTTATAACTATAAGCCGTAAGATTGCGATTAAGATTAAGATTAAGATTAAGTATAGAATTAAGATTAGGACTAAGTTTAAGATTAAGATTAGGATTAAGATTAAAATTACTATTTAGAACAAGGTTAAAACTAAGTCTATTAAGATTAGGACTAAGATTGCGAGTAAAAGCTCAAACAGACGGCAGCGTTAATCCGGATTAACTCGGACTTAATCCGGATTAACTGCAGTCTGTTTAAGCTTTAAGATAATATTGCGATTAAGATTAGGATTAAGACTAGTTTTAAGATTAATATTAAGATTAGGATAAATATAAGGATTAAGATCAAAATTGAGATTAAGATTAAGGTTAAAAGTAAGACTAAGGCTAAGATTAAGATTGCGAGTAAGATTAAGCTAAGTTTAAGATTAGGATTAAGATTTAAATTAATATTTAGAATATGGCTAAAACTTAGACAAAGAATAAGATTAAAATTAAGATTGCGATTAAGATAATATTGCGATTATGATTAAGATTAATACTAAGACTATCTAATAATGAGAATAACAATAAGATTAACACTAACAGCACAATCAAGCCGAAGAAGAAGATTAAGATTAAAATAAAGATTAAGAAGACTAAGGTTAAGATTAAAATTAAGATTAAGATGATGACTAAGATTAAGATTGAGATTAGTATCTATTAAGATAATTGCTTATTATCATGCAGAAAAATACTTATATAATATGGAGAACTTTTACCCATATAGGAGGAAGAAGTTTCACTTCAGTCGCGCATGGCATCCACACACAACTTTTCTAATCAGTAGTACTTACAAAAATGACGAGGACTTGGACGAAGTAAACGTGAGCTCAATAACCGCGGTATGCGCTTCTAGTGCAAAAATGTGGTTTGGATGAAGGCGAAAGTGCAGCTTCAGCGGTCACAAAAAGTCAGCTTTTGAAATGGATGAAAAACTACGTTTTTATACCGAATTAGCATAAGAAGCATCTCCCTTTTTCTAAGGAAGCCAACATCGTCAACAAACAAATTTACAAAAATCAACGGTAAGTTCCAGCTACTCTAAACTTGCACTTTATTGTACTAAAATTGAATGCACTACAAAATTGTATACTCAAAATATTTAAATAAAAAGCTCGAAGTTTTTACGAAAGTTTGTCGATTTTTTTAAATGTTGCATAAAGATCTAAACTAGGATTTATTAAGTTTTTGTTAAAAAATAAACTATATTTTTATATGTAAACCGCAAAGGCAAGTGCATAAGCTCAAACGGCTTTATAACTTTTAAATTTGGTATTCAGATCAGGTTGTTGCGAATATTCGCATTCGCATTCGCAGCCGTGGAGCTACCGCATTAATTTTAACATTCGCATTCGCTTTCGAATTCGCAATAATCAATGCGGAGCTTTTGCGAATGCGAATGTTGTGCAAGTTCATCGATAAAACGTGTATATGGTAAACAAAATGACAAATTGTAGCCAATATTTTTGCCTGTGGTCGTGGGAGTATTTGTCTAACAGAACTGGTCAAATGTCATATTTATCAACTTTGATAAAAATGTCTTTAAACATATTATTTCTTAAGCTATATAACCGAGATATCAATGGGCAGTCATACAAGTTCCAACTTCTACTTGACCTTTGACGTACGTCAAAGAGAACATAGTCTTTTTGACAATATTTTTTTGTTTTCTCTTCTTTAAATGCCTGCATTGGTTTCTTTCTTTATTATGATTTTTTGGACCAATCTTAAAAAACCCACTATACGCAAAAGAAGAAAGTGTGCACTGTAATTCTTAACCAAATTTTCGGGATTTGCTTTTGATGACACATGTATTCGTTTCAATAATTTAAATGGGGCTCTTTGGGGAATTTATTTTTAGCAAATATTTAAAGAACAGTAATTTTGTTTTCTTCTCGGGCAATATTTTTTTCGTTATATACATTGGATCCTTGTCTAAAAACTTCTGTGGTAAAACTGTCCCTTCTTTGCTATTTAAAGTCAAAGAGTAAGCTCCTTCAATTGGGATTTCCAGCAGAAATGATCAACGTCTGGCTATAAAGAAAACCGATGCTCAAGTAATTAAAAAACTATAGGTCTGACCGTTAATAAGATAATAATTACGTAACTATCTAAAATTCAAATGCTTATAAAAAACCCGGGTGCGTTTTTAAAAAATAACAATATTCTGATTCGATTCGGCTGACAGCCACGATTTTGAAAACAGAATTTTGTTAAAAACTTTCATTCCTGGAAAATAATCATTTATTTTCCATATCCACCTATTTAGCTCGCTATAAGCACAAATTGTTCAAACCAATCGCAGAAGAAAGTATTAAAAATGAATTAGAAAAACTAGAATCGAAAAACGCTGATGAAGTTACAGATTCCCCAAATTCTGAAACAGCCAAAGGAATGAGAATGAAGAATTCCTTTTAAAAAGCTTTAGAAAAACCTTACACATCTGGTTTGGCTTGTACGCGCTGTTTAAACAACGATCTCGCCATTATGCTGGATTCTAATTGTTTCTTAAAAATACTTGACATCCGCATTCGCATCCGCATCCGCGGATGTTGGCTGTTAGATATTTGCATCCGCATTCGCATCCGCGGATGTCTAAAATTCCACGTTCGCAACATCCCTGATTCAGATGTCAAAAAAAGATTATGAAAACGCGAAACGGTGGAGAGAATATCTGAAAAAATTAAATAAGAAATTAAATTATTTATATACATATCGTCACTACACACGAATAAAGGCGCGCTAGTGTTTTGACGGCGAAAAAAGGCGCGTAAAAAAATTTTGCGAAAAAAGATGCTTATGAAAATCTTCGGCAAAGTATGTTAAGAGTCTTTGACGCTGAAGTTTTTTTATGCGTCTTTTTTCGCAGTCAACTTTTGAGCTCGCGCCTTTATTCGTGTCTAGTGACGATATGTATGTACACGGTTAAAAATTTCGGTTTTAATTTTAAACTTTTTGGACTACATATATGACCAAACTAAATTCAGTTTCAAATACAAACCTTCCAAGCAGTGTACGAAAATAAACTATATTGTACGTTACTATTTCGTTTCGTTTATTACTTTAACAGTTCGGTACAATACGAAACAAAACGGCTGAGTTCACTTTGGCGATAGTACACTACAGTAGTTTAGTAGTTACAGACGAAACAACAAACGAAATGAATCGTGCAGGGAAAATATATTTATGTATGCACATATATGCAATAAACAAATACAAAACGAATGGCTGCAATGAATAAAAAAAATAAAAATGTTTTTTAATTGAATTGGATATGAAAATATACAGAAAAAATTATTTTTCACGTAATTGAAACGTTTGCATACATATAAAACGTACCCTATGGTACAATTGTCACAAACGAAAAGCAAACGTTTCTCGTTGGGGAAAATGACAGTGAATCTTACAATTTGTTTCTGACTATTTACAAAACTGTACAAAACCACAAATGATATGATGATCGATGAGCAAATGGGAATTGTTTTGTACAGTTTATTTTCGTACCCTGCTTCCAAGTTTAAAAAAAGAGAGCACATATGTTGGGTTTAGAATTTAAACAGTTCAAACATTTTCATAATTAAGAATAAAAAATAAAAAATCTTAAATTTCATGCGTCCGTCAGATGGGGATTGAACCCGGACAGCCTTGGTAGCAACCAATTGTATCAAGCATATTTGCACACTCAGCTACAGCCACGCATGTAAATGTGCTTTCATATGTTGAGTTTGAATCAACACCACATTTCGCTGTGTGCAAACATTTTCTATTTCGGTTTCCATTTTAAACCGAATTTTCTATATAAATATGAAACCTAGAAACTAGAGTTAAAACATTTTGGTTTGATTTTTAAACCACGAACTTTTTGGACTAAAATTTATACCAGAATATATTAAAAATTGCTTAAAACTATTGACTGGTTTAAAAAGTAGACTATAAAAGATTAAAACCTATGTAACCTATGCAGGCTGTCAGCTCCAGCAGGTTTGTTGTTGTTCAAGTGCGTCGTACCTCTTCATAGTCAGGTGGTGGATCATCGACTCCGTCATCATTGACTGGGGGCCCGGGTTCTTCTTCTCCACAACCTTCCGTGCTGCTATCATGCAGTAGGGTTTTCCTCCATAATTTAAGTATGTTCTAGACATATGTAAGTAACTACGTCGGAATTGTTGTTATACAAGAGTTCGACCTGGTCTTGAAACCTTTCGCAAGTCGCCTAATTCTCTGAAAACATTTTCGGGCGTTTTTCCAGTCGGTCGGCATTTCAAGCTCTTCGCACTCACGTATTTCGGTCTCTCTCTCGCTCGCGTTCCGCCCGATCGCAGCGTGGCCCTATAGGCGGCATGTTTTTTCTCTGCAGCTTCTTGACAATCCTCAACGTACCAGTTGTTATTTCGGGCGCGCTGAAATCCGACTACTTCTTCGGCGGTGTTACTTAATGGGCGGGAAATGTGGTTCCACTGCTCGCATAATTCGATTTGTTGAAGAGTGCTCTCTGAGAGCAGCTGTGAGAGTCGACTAGCGAATGCATTGGCTCTCTTTTGCGATTGCAGCTTTTCGATGTTAAGCTTTCCTTGCATATTTGGGCGCGCATTTTTTGCTGCACAGAGGCGGGTGCGTATCTTGGCTGAAACAAGATAGTGGTCCGAGGCTTCGGAGTGTACGTATGTCTAAAATACTGGAAGCGTGTCTCGTTTTTCGATCTGTAGACAGCATTGTAGCTTGACGGATATTTTCATGCTTGAACCTAGTACAGCATACTACGATGCTTTGGGCCCCGGAGAAACCGATCAGCCTCAGTCCGTTGTCGTGGATGCTGATTTTTCCGACAGTTGTTCCATAGATCCATTCCTTGCTCACCCTGGCATTGAAGTCACCAAGCACGATTTTGATATCATGGCGCGGGCAGCGTTCGTATGTGCGCTCCAAGCACTCATATAAGCTATCCTTGGACACCTCGTCCTTCTCTTTCGTCGGGGCGTGGGCGCAAATCATGCTTTGATAAGGATTGCGACGAGACATTCGTCCACCAGGGTGATTGAAAGTACTCGGCGACGGAGTCTCTCTCCCACCACAAATCCAACACTGAATTTCCTCTCGTTTACGTGGCAGCTGTAGTAGACATCGCAAGTCCCCAATCATTTCTTGCCTTACTCCGTTTAACGCATTTCTTAGATTGCGGTGGTGTCAGCTTCTGTTCTTACGAGGATATCAACCAGCCGGCCAGAGGCACCTTCACCATTAAGGGTCCGGACATTCCAGGTGTACGCCCTCAAATCTTAGTCCTTCGAACTTTTTACGGGGTCATCATCTCTCTCTCCGAATCTTTGATGAATTTCTTACGCGGTGGGTCCCAAACCCAGCGCACAACCCATTGCTGGACTGGGGTGGTTTCACAGCCGAATAGCGAAACTGCTTGCTCCAAGACAGACACCCGCTTGCAGCCAGACCTACAGGTGAATAGATGCTGCAGACTTCAGCGAGCCTTTAAACCGAATAAGTCGGAATGGCCCCACCGAAGGATTGGTTACCACATCTCGCACACGGGTTGCTCACGTTACCCTGAGTGTGCGAACGAGGACGCAAGAGTCGGATTTGGGTATAGCCCTGCAACTGTAACTGCAAACCCAGCACAACGACTATACCCCATTGCACTCCGGAAACACCAATAAGAAAGTGTGAGTTCGAGAGCCTATAAAGCATAGGAAAACGTCATTGGAGGGTCTGGTAGGATTCGGCAGAGAATCAATAGGGTTTAAAGACCATTCCATTCAGGTACACCTCGTACGCATCTTCCTCGCAAGCTATAGCCAAACGGAAAGCTTTCCCCGGCAGAAAGTCTGTATCAATATATGAACGTTCCTCAGGCGACCAGGCGCCATCGTACCATGCGCATCGAACAATTGTAGCCCTTGATATGTTTTCTGATTTATTCGAAAAGCGTGGGCCCAGATGAAATGCCACCACTGGCGGTGGCCAATGATAAACATTCCTTTGTAAGTTAATATCAAACGATATTGGCAATAATTTCACACGTCCTTCGATCTTAAGGAAACGTCCTGGTTTCATGGTATTCCTAGGTATTCTAGCGATATAGGGTGTAGATATTTCCTCTTTCCATTTAATAGCTCTAAGTGCAAGACTGACTCTCCACTCCAATTAGTTCACCCTTTACTGACATAGAAGTAATCCACTTATACGGTATCTGATGCACGTACGCAGCATAATGGTAGCCATTCACAGATATTAGAAAAGCATCATCGGTTAAAAGTATTTGCATAACGATTCTTTTGCCACGCTTCAACAATAATTGTAATGATGAAGCATTCTGCTCTACGCGCCATCGTTTGTTCACTCGGCTATTTCGAATGATATAATTATGCGGGAGACGAGCATTGAGATGAAGCGCTATATCGCCAGCCTTGTTATCCACTAAGAAATCGATGAAAAAGCTGCGGAATCGCATAGAAAATATTGTAAGTTTTGCGTGATAAATACCCGCTATCGAATGCCTACCGTTCGCAGGTTAATGTTATAATTCCTGTTATGACAAAGCAAATAACTTCTGTGAGTACACCCAGCTCGTGATTTTCATAGACAGGCTCCGCATTTTCAAGCATGCAATAAGCGTTCTACTAGAAAATATACAGTACTAACTTGTGAGTAATAAGAAACGAAATATGTTTGAACAATAAATGTCTTACTTTTAAAACCGAATTCTTACGAGGTTGCGAATTTCCCATTCTAATGGTAATTTATGGATTTATACTAGTCGAATTAGTTTCCAATTGAATGGCAAGACGTTACGTTAAATGGAACCACTCGTCAAAATATAAATAAATAATGAGTACAAATGTCTGAGCTTTGAAAAGTAGTGTTGGAAATGTATTAAAATATCGTTCAATACTTATTCTCTTCTTGATTGGCGCTTTTACCACCTAAGCGATTTCGGCTGAGTCCAATAAAGTACGCCAGTCCGTTTTCTTCACCTGGTCTTTCCAACACCTCCTCTTTCTCTGTTACCAGCATTGTGACTTGCGCTGTATACTTTCAGAGCTGGATCGTTTCTGTCCATTCGTACGACATGGTCGAGCTGTATTATAATCCGCTGCGCTATGCCCTACTCTGAGCCTCTTCGAAGCACTAACGAACGTTGGAGGGACATAGCCTGGGCAATGCTTCCGAAGGTGTATGATATTGTATCCTGAGAGAGTGGCGAAGCAGTGTGTAGTAGCGAGACGAGGTAGCTGATGAGAGAAGTGCACGATACGTGACCGGAGTATCGTGTCTTTTGGTCGCAACGGCGATAATGGCGAAGGTTTTTTTCTTGACCCACAGCGGATTTGATGGACGAGGATAACACGTTGGGTTGCTCGAGGCTTTCTGGAGCTCTTGAGTCTAGGGGCTTTTTGGCGGATGCACAGTCTATTGGTTAACGGCTAGAGCCCGTTCCCGGTTAGAGCCAGCAATAGGAATTGCCTGGAATAATTAGATGGTTGCTCCATTGCCAAGATAGGGAGGTGATGGTATTTTT